ATAGTAAGATGATGAAAGAAAGCGAGGTGGAGCTGGAGACATGAGCAAAAAGCAAAGTAGAAAATGGCAATAATGTTTGGCATACAAAAGGAGAGAAAAAAGGGCTGGAGGCAAAAGAGCTGGAAAAGTGGAGATGACAGTAGTCAAGCAAAGGATTACCAACCCATCCACAAATACTTTGGTAGTCTCTCAGGCAAAACAAGTCTTTGCAAAGTTGTGGAAGAAGAAGTGATATGATTTAAACACAGCCAAGATATAAGGTAGTATAGGAGAAGGGACAAGGAAATATGGTCTACTGCTTATGCCTGGTGCTGCCATCCGTGATGAGAGGAGAAGGAGAAGGGAAAATGGGAAGAAATTTGAATGTTAGTGAGCTTGAAATAACAGATCTGCATCAAACTGAAGTGTTACAGTTAGCCATATAGCAAAAGTTTTTTAAGAAAGCCTCACAAGGCTTTCTAAGGTACTTCTTTCTTCATGCCGTTTCTCTACTCCCTGTGAGCTCAACAGCTGTGTGCAAGTGTATTGAAAGTATCTGATTATTTTGCCCCATCCTTAATGAGTCTTCATTTCTTAAAAGAAACTGTTCTAATCAAGGGAATATCGAAATAATGTCCCTTTAGCAGAAGGTGAAGCAAATCAGACTTTGAGAACTGAACAGAGATGAAGCAATTATTAGAATTGATCTTCACAGAAACTGGGGTGGGAAAATATCTAAGGACAGGCAAGCAATTTCCTCTTGCAATATACACAGAAGCAGATAGGAGGAACTAATCAGGGTGTTTGAAGTACTTAAAGCCCATTGTTTTCCAGAGGGAAAGAAAAAGCCTACGATGTAGAAAAAGTGGACAGGTTGTTTTTGGCTACAGTTTATAAAAGCTTGGACTTGGACAGTTGCAGTTTTTGGACAAAAAACTATTGATAGTACAGAAGAATCACCAACCTTGGTGATTCTGTGATTCTGTGAATCTCATCAGAGATGAAACTGCTGCCTTTCCCAATTTGCAATAAGGAAAACAACAGTGACAAAATATATGGAATTCATTTTACAATTGCAGAAGAGTTACCAAGTGAAGTAAGATAACAAATAATCAGGCCAATTCTGAACCATGAACATTACTGGTATGAGCAAAACTGACAGGATACAGAACATATCTATTCCATACAGCTGAGATATGCAAGGATGAAAACATCAAAACTAAGTTTTCTATCTAGTGTGCCAACAAAAGGCATGCCACAGGAACACCTCTGGTCTTTAAAGCTAACTAGTTAGAGCCTGTTTTTGGAAGACATTTTTAGAACATTTACCTGATTTTTCTTGAACTGTGTATCCTGCAAAATGGCATCACTGAAATCTCAGCAAACATAGAGCCTGCCTTGAACGCTTTGAGGCAAGAACTGTTGAACAAAAAACTTAAGCAAGTATAAACTAGAAGCTGGCATATTTGAAAGAAAAGCTGAAGGAACCATTATAACAGTTTACAGGAGGAAAGAGGCCAACTCTTTTGTCTACAGATGGAAGTTATATGCCAAACATAATAGAATCAAATGAAATGAGAAGGAAGACATCATTTATGCTGTTGATTTATAATAAGAAGCAGTTACTAAAGAAGCCTGTGCACTGTGAGGTGTCCAGAATAGCAGAAACAACCATGTGGATTTGCTGCAACCCACTTAGTCTGCATAACATTGTTTTGCACAGGTGCTGGGTGCTCAGTGTAGATGATTGCTGTCCCAAATCAAACAAAGGGGAAGTCACCTGCTCTCCTCACTTGGAAAGATAGCATATCAAGGGAATATCCTAATGAGAGACTATCTGCATTACAGCTATGTCTCAAGGGGTATGTGAAAGCTTATCAGAAATGATGACATCTATGCAGAAAGCAGCACTCAAACAGCAGCTGAACTAGTCAGAGCTGCAAGTAACATGGACAAAGTGAGGACAGTTACTTTAGTGTACCACCTTCATCTCTGCCATATTTCACTACATTTGATAGGAATCTTTGTTTCTTTCAATGGTCACTGGATGAGGATTTGACCTGTTGGTTTCTTCTCTTCATAGTAGATAAAAAAGTGCTGGTAATGCTTTTAGAATGGTCAGTAGCATCACTAGTGGATTGAATGCAGGCACATAAAGTTTTTATTGGGAAGAGGTAGCTCCCATTGTCTTTGTGTGATATACACAAAGAAAAATAAGGGATTGCAGATATCTTCCTGTTTTGAACAATGACGCTAGGAATTATTAGTAAGAAAGCCACCATGAAAGAAAACCTAGATCAATTTTAGCAATGTATATGTATGACAGTACTGCTGTACTGTATTGTAAGAGGAAAAAAAAAAAAAAAAAGGCCTGATTATTTTCACTACCTTAAAAAAAAAGGGCCATCAGAGAATCTGGTAATCTGGTGAATTTAAAAAAAACATTTCAAAGCAGTTTCTACAAAATTTACTATGGAGAAAGAAGAATGTAGCTTTTTTGGGGTGAGGTGGGTGGAGAATGATCTAATGTAACTTAGTCATTCTCAAAAGATTTAAAAATAAATCTGATTTGCCTCTCCACCATTTGTTATCATTTTTGACTGACAGTAAGTTACATAGGATACTAATGCTAAGCACAGCAGCAGTATTGTTTGGATTTTTTTTTTTTTATAATGATCTGAATGTCAGCTCAGTTGTGGATCTCATTTAGAAGATCATGCAGCTAAAACAACAGAATGGACTCATTTGTTTTGGATTCACTGTCCAAACCACCTGACATTTTGTTCAGCTTGGACAAGTTAAGATGAAACCTGAAAATACACAAAAATCAAGTGATTCTGAGAGATTTGTGTCAAATCTTCTTCATCTATTAAACAGTGAGTTAACTGTATTTCTTCTTAATTTTGCCTATTTGTTCTATAAGATCTATGTTTGTATGCTCTTCACCTGAACTGGTACGAATACCCAATTAATCATTTGGGCACCTTTGTTTTTCATAGATAATAAGAGCCAAAATTCCAACCTAGTAAGTTGTTGTTGAAAAAAATGTATTGGACAAATCTTCACATTATCATGGAGATGGCATTAGGTGTCATGTTACTTCTAGAAATCTGATCCCCTAATTTTTGGCTCAGATACATGAAGGATAAATTCTGAGAGAGATATAAGAATTACAGTGTTCAATAGAATTTACAAGTTCATGGTCAGTGTTCTGGTACTTAGGAAACATGGGGAAAAATAGAATTTGTCTTCTTTTTCTTCAGAGGTAACTTTTCTCTGATTTCCATGATCAAGGTATTAAATTTAAGCATTTGAACTGTTTCTTATATATTAAAACAACTTACACATTAAATCCAAAATTACCCCTTGCAATGATAACACTGTTTAATCTGGGGTTTAAAATACTATTTTAATGAAAAAATTCAGTATCTTTATTAATTTTATGCCACCGTCTGGTTCATATATTCTCTGTTTGAAACTTTGCATACACTTATCCACACAAAATACAACACCGTAAACAGGACAGAAGAGAATTGCTCAGGAATCAGGACCAAATTTCAGATCTATGCTCTAGGCTCAGTAATAATATAGACATTGAATAGAACCAGTATTAAATAATATTACCATGGAAAAAACTTTTTTTTTTTTTCCTAAACATTCCCTCCATGACTTTAGCAGTGGTGGAATTCTCAGCATAAAAAATTTCAGCTCTGAAGGCTCTTATACTCATAGGGACTGCATTGGTTGATAGGGATGGCTGCAGGTATTTGGGGGCAAGCCAGAAATAAAACTATTTGTCAGAGTAACAGAAAACCAGGGGTGTGAAAGTAAGATGGCTCACCTGCAAATATGTCACTTAGAACCATGAAAAGTAAAATACTGCAGTGTCAGTGTGTTGACAACTGGACTACTGATATAAAGGAGACAATACTTCTATTCCAGCTGGGGCCTACAGTCACATCCCAATCTGTTTTTTAAGCAAGGCCAACAGGCATAAAGTCTGTGGCTGGAGATGGTGATCAGATGGGTGATCAAACTTTCTTTCAGTCATAGGTAAGCAATGAAGTCCTCTGTCAAGTGAATTATTCTCAGCAGTCTGATTATCATCATTCAGTTTTTATATCTTTTTTCTTCTGAACTTTTAACCTTCCTTCTTCAGGGCAGAACTCATCACACTTTAATAACCTAACTCACCTACTTGAGCTGCCCAAGGGAGTGTATTTTGGCATTGTCTATGAATACGTTTGTGCTGTTGGTACAGTGCCCAATCAAATTTCACATGGGCTGAAAGGATTTCTGAAGACTATGTCCTGGTAGAAAGAGATATTTGCAAAGTGCAGAAGCATTTAGCAATGGAGCCAGGTATGCTACTTCCTTATCCTGCTTACTTATGCATTCTGCCCAACCTTCTGTTTCCTGCTCTCACTGATTTGTGGGCTGACTATTCATGTGCCTCATAGATTTCCTCCTCCAATGCCTTTCATGTTTTGTTATCTTTTAAAATTTGTTTTTGTATCCCACCACATTCTTGCCAGCTATATATCATCTTCTGTGATCTTCAGGAGTCAGAGTTGTTCCAGGTCCCCCAGACTGTTTGGCAGAGAAAGCTCCCTAATCAGCTTTGGCAGATATACATACAGCATGTACTTTTCCACATGTTATCCTAATTGACTACACACAGGTAAATGCTATGGCCTAGTTGTACCGTGAGCTAGTCACATTGTGAGGCTTTCCCTCTTTTTGGAAAACATCAGACTACACAGATAAAAGCTGTTAGGTCTCTGGCACTGTTCATAGCAACAAGCTTATCTGAGCTAAGGGAGAATCTATCATCCATTCTTAAGAGCTGGCAAAAGTTATTTCCTCGTTGATAAGAGCTTTCTTCTGATTATGACTTCTTTTCCATTTCAGGTTCCTTCAGATACTGTGTAAAACATCTGAGGCTCTGCTACAAGATCTATTCCTTTCAATTTTCTTTTTTTATCTCTAACTAAAAGTGCCAGCATAGAGCCTGCTGATCATATACTTACAGCTATTGAGTCTCCTTGTTCTGGTATGTATTGAAAACTCAGACTTCATCTTTACTTTCTGAAAACTTAAACATAATGCTAAACATATCGTATGTCTATGATTTGATCTGGCATTTATCACCAAACTGGCACCAATGCCAAGGGCTGTTGTTTGTGGAAAAGATTTATTCTCATTCCTAGTTGGCTGATTTGAGGGAAATATCAGGATTTGCATAAAAAGAAGCACTATCTTAGATGGCCGGGATACAGTTGATAAAGACATTTTTTTCCTGATACTTACCAAATACTCTCCAGATTCTGTGATCTTCACAGTAACGCAAATATACTTTCTTCTTCCCCTTTCACCACCACAGCTGGTTGAAAAACGAGATTTTCAGATCTTATTTGTGAGACACTAAGTTGCTGGACACTAAGTTGCTGGGTGTGTTTGACTCCTTCTAGAAGAAAAAAGCGCATACACACAGTAATAGACAGCCTTCTTTTATAGCCTTCTAGAGCATTTCTTCACTCCTACAGATTGGCTTCTCAGTTCTGCATGTGAACCTGCTGCACCCACAAATTTCATACCTCTCCTCTGTTCAGTGACACATCAGCAGCCCACATGCTCCCACATCCTGACCCAGAAGTGCAGCTCCCAACAGAGTTCCTGAAGGAAGCACTGCAACAAAAGCACCCAGCCAGCATGGTGCTGCTGGCACACACAGAGCAATGAGCTTTTTTTAAACTAGTGGATTGAAGGTAACTCCCTTCATAGAGAAGTGGTGCCTGAAACTCAGCTATGATGCTTCCCCACACAAGGAACTGAAACTGCTATTGTCACCTGCAAGTTGCTGTGAGCCTGTGTTCACAAGAGATATTGGCTTGTCTGGCACCAGCTCCAGAACCATTCTCACTATGAAGAAGCTTTGCTAGTTTCTGACAGAATTTCCCTGGCTACAACTTGTACCCATAGCCTCTTGACCTTTTCTTACATGCCTCTCAGAAGAGGAACTGTGGAGTTCAAGCTGAGTACAGTGCTCCAGATGTGATCTCACAAGTGCTGAGTAGAGGTAATAAGCAATTCCTTCAACCCGCTGGAAATGCTTTTGTTAATGCAGTCAGTATGCCACTGACTCTCATCCCCATAGACACATTGCTGACTCCTGTTCATCTTGATTACAAACACCAAATATCCTGTTCACTTAGTGAGTTGGAGGCCATGTGGCCCAGTGCTGCAGCAGATGCTTTCTGCTCTCTTACCAAGACCAGTTTTTTTGTGGGTTTCCATTTCCTTTTCATGCTTTAGATAAGATGATTCACCTTTAGTTTCTGTAGGAGGAGAGGGGGAGGGAACCCCACCTAATTCTCTTGTTAAATTATGTGTAGGAGAAATTTTATGAACTTTCTTCATCTAGTGAATGAAGCTACATTGCTGAATATTGAGAATGTATTATCATAGAATCACAGAAACATTAAGGTTGGAAAACACCTCTAAGATCATCTAGTTCAATTGTCAGACTATCATCACAATGCCTACTCTGCCATGTCCATCACTGCCACATAAACACTTTTCTGTGGCAATGCAGACAATATAAAAATAATTTGGCATATAGTTTACACACATACAGCACCATTACCCTTCTGAATGTAGAATGCTTTTTTGCAGAGACCTCAGTAATGGAGAAAAGTCTCAATTAATTTGTTTCTTTCCCATTACACATCCACTCCAGACTGGTATAGTTGCCATTTGATTGAAGACAAAAAACAAAAACAAAAACAAAAACAAAAACAAAAACAAAAAAAACAACCTATGAGATAATTTAGTGTTGTCTGTGCCCCATCTCCCAGTTTTATGTATTTTTGAAACTGGATCAGTGACAGGCACTTCCCCGGAGTTTTTTGTCTGTGCAGCTCAATCTCTTCATGCTGTTACATCTCTGACCGTTCAAGCCCATTCACCATTCCCGGACTTCCTCCAGAATGGTTTGCCATGCCTTATGTCAGAGTGATACATTTTCTTTGCTGTTATTATGTTGCCTTGGTAGTTTGGGATCAAGAAGGACAACTTCAACAAGCCACTTTGTGATGATACAACACTCCATTTATTTATTCAGTAAATCTGCTTTTCCTCGTACAGGGAAAATTTAAAATTTCAGGGTAAAGGAAGCTTGACTGCATGTGATGATCAGCATCATTCTTGAGTTCTACTATCTGGGCTGTAATAGCACCTTTCTCTCATCTCCTTGCCTCTACTGTATGGTGTTGCTACTTAAAGAGATGGATGATTGCTTGGAGGAGCAGCAGCCAGGCTGAAGACTTTTCAGCTAGAGACCTCCCCCCAGTGAAGAATAGAGGCAGCTGTTAGGTGCCTCGGAGAAGTTTTGAAACAGAAACTCTGGAAGATGCTTCTTGAAGAAAGCGTGTGCATAGGCAGTTTCCTTAGAGATTTTAGCTGACAGACAATCTGTAGGTATTTGCCAGCAGGGAAAAAGAGGCTTATAGTCAGGATGATAATGGTAAATTGTGCTGGTGGAAAAATCTCAGCAGGCTTTACATTAAGGACTAATTATAAAGATCTTGAGCCATCTCGGAGGCTGGCTGGATGTTTCCATGTTGATCAGTGTTTCAGTAAGCATAAGTTCCCAAAACACATATGTTCTCTAGGACGTGTCTAACTTGCTAGGAGAACGTGAAGGGAGCTGAGAAATGTGGCATTAGGATCATCATGCTTGCCAAGAGGATGCGTGCCTTGGGATAGAGCTACATTGCCTTTTCACCCATGCAGTGTGCACAAATGCAGATTGAAGACAGAGACTGCCTTTGATATCAAGAGTGTCTATATTCAGTTAATATTTCTTTACTCTTTCACTTCTCTCTGAGTCACCTATTGTTCTTTGTTCCTCCCTCAGTCCATGAGGGAGTTCAGTCTTAGTAATACTAATCTGTTTTGTTTTTCATGAGTAATTGCTCCCTTTCTTTATTCAGTTCATGTATTTCATTTTCTTCCTCTTGTGTATCTTTGTCCTATAAGGATTTCCATGCCTTCTTCTTGCCTTGCTTTTCTAATACAAGAATCAACTCCCAGACTGCTCTTTATACGCATCCTCTAAATTATCAATTTTCACCCACTGGACTAAGAATCATTGTTCAGCTTCCAATGCTCTCACTGTAATACTATTTCCTTTTTGAGAAAAAAAGTCATGTAATGTAAATAAATAACATGCACTATTTACAGAAGAAGAGCTGTGCCAGGTACCATTTGGTCTTTTAACTGAATCATCTGACTTAGGCTTATATTTTAATTATGGGGAGAAGAGACTCTTCGACATGCTTACATCAATACAGACATATCATGGGTGAACAACCTCAGTGAGATTCTTCTAAAAACAAACAAACAAACAAACAACAAAACACTGTTCTAAAAAGTTTTTTTAAATAGTAGTTTTTTTAAAAAAACATACAAAAAACTATTGTGTTCTAGACTTGATAACTTTATCTAATCATTTACTTACTTTTCTCTTTGAAGTAATAATTATTTTGAAGGAGGATTGCTGATAACTGAGAATCATATTTCAAATTGCTAATATCAAGAGCGTTCAGACCATATGGAATGAGATAGAGCAGACTAAGTAACTAGGCTGACATTTAGTCTGAGTGGTATTAGTGTGGAGCCACTTCTACGTACAGCTGTAACTGTGAGCCACTTCCTAGGGTAGGAGGAGAACAAGAGCAGCTATCCAAATCACGGCAAATCACACTCTATGATGGTATCTCACAGGTTTGATTGCTACCTGCATGTCTGGTACCTGCCTAATTTCAAACCACTGGAGAAGGCTTCCCAAGCAACTACATTTCCATCTCTTCCCTTCCTCAGTGCATAACCCAAGTTTTCTGAGCAGAAATACTGTACACTCTAATTTTAGTGAGTGATCTCGTCTGAACATCGATATCCCGAATATTCAAAAACCTGAGATTTGCCAACTATTGAAAGTGCTTCTATCCTTGCAGTCAAGGCACTAAACTAATTATAAAGATCTTGAGGGAAGTGCACAAGGAAAAGAAAATACGTTAAATCAGTCCGTGGGAAGGAAGTACCTGATACTGATACAGAAACAAGACCTGAATTTATTAGGAAAACTATAGAAAAAGAATGAGTGAGTTTGGCAGAAAAACAAGACCACTTTCTCTCAGTGCATCATATGTTCTTCTCTTTGTCACACATTTTATGCAGCCCATGTGTTCTGTGCTTGTCTTCAGGGAATTCAAACATATATATATTGTGCAGTCATAAAAATTCACTAGAAAGAACAATGAAGTTAGCTAGGATAATTGAAAAAACAGTTCATTGAAATTGATTAAAAAAATACATAAAGGAAGCAGTTTAACTTTTGAAATGCTTGGGAACACCATTATCTTTTCAACAAGTGGTACATATATTTTTATTTCATTAAACACAAAGTCTTCTCTTGTGTTTTATCACACCGAAAGACAAACTTGATCATTTGTCTGTAATTTCTAAATCTTTGGCCACTGATATATTTGCCAGTATACACTGATTAACTGCCTAGTGCCTGCACGAGGCATCCAGTGTGATCACAATGAGAGAATGACAGTCCTTGTGTTAACTGTTGTGTCTACTCATGGCTTTCCTATGCATTCCTGATACAAATGCCTTTGCACAAGTAGTGTTATAACTGCATTTGTTCTCAAAAGACATTATATATAGGAGAATTGTTCTTGTCTGTTTTAGAGAAGTTTTGTTTTGTTTACTGCTACTCTATTCAGAAGGAGAATGTATGAGTAAAGACGGATGGTAGAGCAGATAAGGTATAATTCCAAAAATAATTCTAAAACTCAGGCGTATGCCAGTTGCCTTAGCCAACCATTTAATTCCCCATATAGCAAGAGGGGCTACTTTCCATGCTATTAATTCATAAGTGAATTAATTCAACACCACATATGCCCTGCAAAACAGTTACCCATTAATTTCCCAGAGTAATTAAAGAAGAATACACGACTACTTTAACACCCTGAAAGCTGCAGT